GTGTTTAGAGTTTCTAGAGCGGTAGTATAAATGCATTTATTCTCTTTCCATTTATTCTTCTTTGCTTCGTTTTGTATCCTTGGAAGCATCGAGTGCACGAAAATTTAGAGCCTCCTTTCAGAGTGGCTCGGGAATAAGAGTGGAAGGAAATGAACGGAGGGGGGCTGCAGAGAGAAAGAGGAAAAAAGTTCGGCGAGAGATACTACCCTTTGCGAGTGGGGGACGCATGGGCGGTGGATGCAACGATTCCGCGTGTTAGTACGGGCATCCCATCCTCCTCCCCCGCGCTCAAGCGGAAGTACTAGAATTGAAAATCCATTATCTCTGTTTTTGCGCTGAGGCCGGCGAATATTTACACTCGTACTCCGCGAGCTCCTCGGCGTGGCGAAAACAGGCGCGACTTTCACTCGCTATTTCGCGACGTTGGCGAAATTGAACGCTGTCGCGGAGATGAGACAATTGAAGATTAGTTGCTTGGAGTTAATCGACTGTTGCAGAGATTAGAAATTAACGTGCGAGTTTTCGGTTCAAATAAAACGCAATGAAATTTATTTAAGAAATTAAACAAAAATTTGAATCTTATTGCTTATCTTAGATGCTTTTAGTACACATTTTCAGTCTTCAAAATATTCCAATGCAATTACATTTCTGCAAATATAATTGTTAGTTATTCGCAATTGTTCAGATATAATAGTGACAGTAGTATTTTTACTCAGACGTGACTGATGCGATCAGATGAAAAAATAGTAATTTAAAAATCTTGGCAGTGGCACGAAATCGGCGAGTATAGAGACATCGCAACGCCCATAACACCGCCAGATTATTCGCCGAATCGACGCGAGATGAACGATCTCGAGTGTAAAAGAAGCGTGGAAAAATAGCTGAGAAAAGTAGTGGTTTATTCGAACGAAGCATAAAAGGAGAGAGATAAAATGGCGAATCGCAATATTGAAAAGCACCGATTGACGTATAGCCGGGGGCGAATCTAATAATCCATGCGCTTGGACCAGAGCCAACCCAAAGTCTGTCGTGTGCACCAAAAAGATGCAATTGCAATCTGTCGGAGAGCCGATGCGCTCGGAAATGGATCATCGTGCATTTCCAACGGCTGCTTAGCCAAGTATTTCACTTGTTCCTTTGCTCCTGCTCGGTCGCAAGAAAGCGAATTACAGTTTCGACTTAAGATTACAAACGCACTCCACCACCTTCTGCTCTTTATCGCATTTCTAACTTTCGGAAAATTAAAGAAAGTTACTTTCACTGTTTTAATAAGCTGGTGGATTAATTAAGAAAAAATATTTGCTGTTACTCGAAGCAGAGATTAAAAAATTAATTTCAAAATTTTTAAAGTTTCTGATTTTTTGCATTATTTGGATGAGTGAAAGCAAGAATTTATTCTATTCTTTTTTTGCAAATTCTTTGTGTGTTAAAAAATGGATACTTTAACGACTTCATTTTCATCTAAATGTATAAAATAAAAAATTTCTAACTTTGCAAACTAATGTATCACACGCGAATTCGAGACGATGGATTAATCGAATTCGTTTCAACATTTTGGAACGCCACTGTAATCGACACGTTGTCACGTGAGAAATAGTTTCAGTCTTTCAACTGGACGTGTTTCGCGTGCGAAGTATCGAATTAATAGCGGGATATCCTCGAGCGCGCGCTCGCAGCATCCGTATGGAAGCACGGCCGCCAGGAGAGACGTTATCTCGCGACTGCGACTCCCCCGGGAGCCAAGTCGAGTGCAACGTTAAAAGGAAAAAGTACACGTGCGGGATACCCCTTCGGATTTAAGTCCGTGATCCTGCGACTACTCCGCCGCGCGTTCGTCCCCTTGCGCAAACATGCTTCTTTATGGCCGCCCGCTATTGGAAAGGCGGAAATCTCAGATAAGCATCCTCGGCGCGAACAGCCGCGCATTATCAGAGCTATACGTTGTGTTTGAACACCCCTTTCCATTTTGTGTCGCGGCGAATAAAGGCCTAACCGCGACGGGCCACCCTTTTCATGCAAGATTAACTGCGACATCAACGGAGTTGAGAGATTATAGAACCAACAATAACTATAAATTCATGAAAGTGCGGAATGGATTTAAGGATTTAAAGATCTTGTTAACTCGATAGAACCCAAGAATCTATAAACTTTACGAAACCGATAATTAAAAATTTCCAATAAACGTTGTTTAGCTATTAAGTTTCAGATATTAATTTAAAGTTTCGAATATTGAGTTTCTAGAACTCCAGTTCTAATCAATAATTTCGCAGTACAAGATTCCAGATTCGAAATTCAGTGTGGCATAATTTGACAATAATTTGACAATTTATTCTACAATAATTCTTAAAATTTTCATGCAAGATGCCTATCTCTTCGGAAGTTTACGGAATTATTTGTTTTAACTCGCTCACCCTATTCCGTTTCCGTTTCTTTGTGACAATATATTATACGAGCACAGCAACACCGCCGTTCCAGGACGCCCAGTCGCATAAACGATATAAATGACGCGAACGCGACGTTCTCCCAAGGGTTGAAGATATTGTTTCGAAGTCGATAAGTCGACCTCGAGGAGGGAGCAGAGGGTGGCGGACAAGGACAGAGATATCGTGGCGCGACTCGAGAAAGGAGACGTACGTGGAAGCTCGTCGGGAGACCACGACATTACCTAAGGGATGACGGTAGTTCGAGAAAATGGCGCCGCAAGGATAGGCCAGGCAATGGCAACGGCAACACAAAGCCACGTGTGGCTACGCTCTCTCTCTCTCTCTCGGTTGTATCGCATTTCTCGAGACGTCGCCTTTATCGCGACACGTTTTACGACAAAATCTGCGAAGCAACATAGTTATGTAGTACAATCGCAATATTTAATGCGGTAAAGATTCTACAGATTTCTCGGGAAAAAGGATGTATAGAATCTGTGGATTCATTGTTATCGCTGTTTATTTCTTCTGGCGTTTCAGTCGTCCTCCCGGCGATATAAGAATATCGTAGAATATTGTTATCGTATTACATTTCATGAGTCTTTTCTCTCAAAACGTTGTAACATTGTAAAGAAAACACCAGAGGTTCTGCTAAATTATAGCGAACGAGATATATTTGTGACAATATTGGATATAATCTGTTTTGTAGGAGTTGAAATTGTAACGCCCTGTAGTATACTAACGAAGGAGAATATTTCTTGTTTTGCCCTTACCTCATCTTGTCAAAGATGAGCAAAATAGTGGACGACGATTCCACGCAGACAATGTCGAAATCCAGACAACAAATGCCATGTAACAAATAATATTGTACTAATTCTTGTGAGCAATATTACTACAATTTATATTCTTATAGATATTAATAATCAAATGTATGTGAATATTCTTGTCAACCAATAAGATCTTGAATAAATAAGTACTGATCCATACTCAATTATTGTAAATTTATTAATTTTTAAATATATAAAAATAAATAATTATAAAAAGCAATAACAAAAATAAGGATATTTTGTAACAGTTTTGTATATATTAAAAATTTCCTGTCTTTAGTTGCACATATACACGCGCATACTCATACATACATACATACATATGTTGTATATCTTTCTAATTTTATTTTCAATATATTTTCATATAGATATTTTCATATAGATATAGATTATCGTTATTATTTTTATAGTTATTATTAATATAACTATTAACATAATAAAACTCTCTCTCCCCCCCCTGTTATCTTTAATTTTATTTTTACTATTTTTAATTAAATTAATTAATAATCATTATATATTTAATTTAGTCGAAAATATAAACTTATAATAGTGAAAATAGAACTAAATAAAACACTTTTAGCTTGAATAATATCAAAACAGATTGAGAAAACATTACGAATATCATAGTAAGAGTATAATTATCCAATTCAAATAGAATTGTGCGGTTCTAAATAGGAGCCAGAGATTAAATAGTTTCAAAATAGGGTGATGCGACCGCTCAAATTAAGTGTTAGATTGAACATTTTGGTCGAAAGTAAGTATTAGATTGAACATTAAAGTCGAAAATAGGGGAAAAAAAATTTTGACTCGGAAAGCAAGAACCGTTTTTTTTTATATCAATAACTCACAAACGGCATTTTGAGTTATGTTATTGTTGCAGCAAATAAGCAATATTTTACTTGTCATGAATCTATTATTCAAACTGTGATATTGCGAATCGTTATACGAGGTTGCCGTATAATTGAAAGTTAAGCAAAGTTCATTTTGCGATATACATATCCTGCCTACGAGCTTATAAATTGCCGGTTACTACGAGTGGATTAGCAAGTGTCGTATTTGTCTAACTAGTGAGAATATAATAATCATTAACATTGTTTTTTATCATCAGTAAAAACGATATTTTTATCAGAGTGTTATAATAACTTTAATATAATTTTTGAACGTATTGATTTACACTATTAATTGGCAAGTTATATCGAGTTATATCGAGAAAGTCGAAAAATAAGACAGTGGATAGAATAAAAATACTTGATCGCAGCAATGGAAACGATTCCAGAAACGGCTTGGTCTTTTCAAAGCGTAGCTGTGTCTCTGCTAGCTGTATTCGTCGTAATAATACTCGCAGCGTACTATTACGTTGAGACTAATCGAGCAGTTCGTATTATAAAGAAATTGCCACGTATGTACTAGACGAGCATTTTAACTATTTTTTAAGTTTCAAGATTTTAACTTGAACATTATTTTTTACACGCGGTGTCATTACACTTTCGATTAGACATTTTCACGTCGAACACATTACTTATTTTCACTATATATTCTGTGTCTACGTATTTTGATGACTGTTAATGAATAGCTCGTAACTTTCAATAGTTTGTTAGTTGACTACAAAATTCGTTAATCAATCCAAAACTGAGTTTAAAGCCAAAATTTTAGATCAGAAGGCTTTGTTGATGTCTACTTTCTCACGATACAATCTTTATTAAAGTAAACTTACACAATCATATTTAATTAAATTTTGTCTCTTTTTTTCTAGAACCACGACCCGTGCCTATCATTGGTCATGCATTATATACTTTAGGATTATCTCCTAATAATCTAGTTACTGAATTATTAAAATACTGGCAGAAACTTGGGATGGTAGGAGGTGTATATGTCGGTTCCAAAGTATTCGCTTTTCTAGGAGATCCAGAGGATATCGAAATAATTTTGAAGAGTTCTGTGCATATTGACAAAGCCATGGAATATAAGTAAGATATCCATTTAAAAAATAAAAATGTCCACTGCTCATTAAGAGTTTTTAGATAATAAGTATTTTCTCCGAAAGTATTTTTTTTTAGATTCTATTTCCGTAAATCCCTCCCATTGAGGATATATGTCAATGCATTCTTTAAAATGTTTATTTTAAGTGTGGTTACACGGGTTGAAGAAAATTACAGAGCTTTATCAAGCAATAAATTCAACTACATCTTTTGTCCAAAAACTTTTGACTGGCAATGCATATTATTTTGTCCTTGCTTTATTTGTAATTTATTTTATTTTTTATTTGCTCGAAAATACCGATCTTGCTTAAAATTCTTTTTATTTCTATCGTAGACTTTTCGAACCATGGCTTGGAGATGGTTTGCTAATCACAAAAGGCGACAAATGGCGCAGACATAGAAAAATAATAGCACCTACATTTCACATAAATATTTTGAAAACGTTTGTACCCTTATTTTATGAGAACAGTTTAGCTCTCGTAAGACAGTTACGCGATGAAATTGGAAAGGAATTTGATTGCCATGATTATTTATCAGCTGTAACAGTTGACATTTTGACGGAAACAGTAATGGGAGTTAAAAAGGAAAAAGGAGAAAAGACTGGATTTGATTATGCTTTAGCCGTAATGAAGTATATATTATTACTATCTTAAAATTACATAACATATATTCCTTTGTTGCACATTCATACTCAAAGCATACTCAAAGCATACTCATTATAATCTTAATGTCATAGATTATCTGATATCCTACACCGAAGACATTACAATATGTTGTTGCGTTTTGAATTTATTTTCAAACACACAAAGTTAGCCAAACTGCAAAAGAAACTGATTGATCTTGTTCACGCAACGACAAATCGTGTGATTGCAAAAAAAACAGAGAACATCGAAAAGAAACTTGTCGAACAGCAAGAAGATAAGTCAACGGATAATTTGAATACGGCTGAAAATCCGAAAGATGCTCAAAGTAATGGCAGTAGTTATACAAAATTGCATTATGCAAGAGATGATCTCGATGATATCGATGAGAACGACGTAGGCGAGAAAAAGCGACTTGCTTTCCTAGAGATGATGATAGAGATGAAAAAAAACGGCGGGCAAATGACCGATGAGGAGATCAGAGAAGAAGTAAACACTATTATGTTTGAGGTATGACATTATTTAAGTTTGTTGCGATATTAAATTTTCTTTTATATAATAAATATTTGATTGCAGATAGAATTTTACTATTTAATCTTTCTCTTGTTATCAAAAATTCCGTGCAAATCAAAAGCTATGCTATTAAACATAAATTATATTAATTTGCATGTATTAAATAAAATTACTGATCGATTTATTGTAGGGTCATGATACCGTAGCAGCTGGCTCGAGTTTCACACTTTGTATATTAGGATGTCATCCAGATGTTCAGGTATATTTATTAACAATTTATACAAGACAGATCATTCTTTTTGTTTGACGTATACATGAAAAGATAATTTTTATAAGATAAGAATTCAATATCTTATTTTAAGAAAAAAAAAACAAATATTGGAAATAATTATATAAGTCATTTATATCAACATTATCTCAATTTTCTTAAACATGATATTTTTCATATTCATATTCTAATAACTGTTTTTGAAACGCTGCTTTGAATTAATCAATCTGTGGAATAGTGTTATTGAAAATTATGCAAGCTTAAAATGAAGGAAAAATATTGTCAATTTTTCAATCGTTAAGTTTAATTTTCCCTCGGAACAAAATTTTTCACATTATATGTGAAAAATGTATTCGACATTTTCAATGTATATTTTTTATAAATTATATTAAATTATATAATGAACCAGTACACACATAAAATTTAATAAAGAAACTGTATTCGTTTCTTATCGAATATAAAAAATCATGAATATCATTATTAGTACATCAATACTTCACATTAATTAATAAAGATGTAAATATATACGAAAAAATTGCAATACAACTTGATGACTCTGCTTTTACTTCTTATGATAATGATACTGATAACTTTGTAATATTATGTATATGCTGAGTACTTATTATTTTATTAAAATCCGATTATTTCAAAGTGGCTAGAAAAGCTATTAAATCTCTTCGATCTTCGCTCTTTTTGATGCCATAAAAAGATTTTTTTGTTCCCGGAATAAATTTTTTAGGACATTCCAAATAATCGTTTAAAGTGTTTTCGTCCCATATAATGGCTTTTTTCTTCATGCTTTCCGTAAAATCAAATCCTGGAACAGCTGTGAAAATTAAGCAATTACGTATTTTGCTACACTGTCAATTAACCAACATTCTACATTTACGTATGATAATTAACTATATATTAACACGTAATTTATAATAATTATAATATTAATGTTTCTGCTTTTAAATTTACTTTTAAGCTAATAACTCGCATGTACGCGATTTTAAGCCATTACACCTACTTCCACATGTTTTGCCCATGATGCCGTGCAGGTTAGGACCCATTTTATGTTTACCGTCCTTTTCCGTAGTATGGCACGTAACGCACATTTTCATGAATAATTTCTTACCCTTGGTTGCGTCGCCCATTGTCGATTAATAAAGCTAATTAAAATTGAATTGTTAAAATAATAATCCTACTATCCATCGCAGTTTGCAATGCTCATTCTCCATCTTTCCTGTTTACATTGGTCGATACTGATCCACTAATCGGCTTCGATACTAATCAGTAAATCTATTGTCCTTCTTTCAATTCAATGATTTTTATTGCGCAGGCTCGCGTACACGAAGAATTGGATGAAATTTTCGGCGATAGCGACAGGCAATGCACGTTTCAGGACACTTTGGAAATGAAATATCTTGAAAGAGTTATTTTAGAAAGTTTGAGGCTTTTCCCCCCAGTACCTGTAATTGCCAGGTACCTTAACGAGGATGTGCAAATAGGTAAGCTTGACGATTTAGACATAGTGTAATAGATATCGATAACAATATACCGTTATAATCATCGTGTTATAAACCTCTGTATAATATACTTTATTTATTTTGTCATCTAAAAAGAATATAATCAATTTTTTTTTCTATAATAGTTACAGGCAATTATATTCTTCCAAAGAGTACCACAGTATTAATTTTTCCATTCGGAGCACATCGTGCTGAAAAATATTATCCGAATCCGTCAGTGTTTAATCCAGACAACTTTCTACCGGAAAATATGCAGAAGAGGCATAGTCACGCTTTTATTCCTTTCAGCGCCGGACCAAGGTATTTAACAAATGTCCTTTGCAGCATGTGGGACTTGCTCAAAATTATAAGATTTCTAAAAGATAATCAATGAATTTATCTTTGGCATATTCCAAGTATTTTTTAAAAATATTTTATGTTGCAAATATCACATCTGCTTACAATTAAACATTTTTCAAAGATCATGCGTAGGGCGGAAATACGCCTTGTTAAAGCTGAAGGTTCTGTTATCAACAATACTGAGGCATTACCGTATCATTTCCGATTCATTTGAAGAAACTCAATTGCGAGGCGATATTATTCTGAAAAGAGATGACGGATTCAAAATCAAGATTGAACCGCGCGAGTCAATACCTTGTGAGTTAAGATAATAACGAGAACGTAAAAGTGTCTGTGCGAGGACGAAGTGTATCGATGTATATTTTGATAAACTTTCTATATAACATTTAATTTCCTCTAATTCTCTATTTATTTTTTCAGGTTGAGACACTTTTATAATGCAATTAAAAATCTATTATGTTTAAAATATAAAAAAAAAATGGTTGAAAGATTTTTATTTATACGTATAATTTATTTCTAATTAAAAAAATTCTGGGGAAAACTTATTACTTAAATTAGTGTACTTGATATATATCTTTATATCTTTATATGATAATATATAGTAAAATATTGTCATTAGGGGAAATCCATGTTACTTATAATAATAAATTGTATCATCTGACATACTTGTGGTAGTTTAAAAATATTTGACGTATTTTTCTTTTAGCTTTGTAAGTTTTCTTTCATGGGCGCTACTAAAGCAACGTGTTATTTTCTCCGTTGTTTTTACATTTTTGGGCGTTTGTGGTGAAGGATTGTTTGGATCTGTCAGAGTGTTAACAAGGGCCTATGTTTATCTTCGACCATCCCCTATAAAAAGCAAATGGACATCGTCAGGCGTCCTAACTCAAACGTAGAGTTGAGTAGAGCTCCCAAAGTTTTGTCTCCGAAACAAGAGAGACAAAATGGTATTGCCCGCATAGGAGATACCTACGTGTTTCTTGGCGCAAACAACAGCGGTCACACCAAAGCCGCCAAGGATGGTTCCGGGGTTGAAGGGGTTTCGCCGCTGCCGACCAGTACCACCCTCGTCGTAGCGGTGATGCGAATCGAGGGGGGGAGGGGGGAGGGGGTCAGAGGGGAAGGTTGGTCGAGAGGGAGGGCGGTAAGGAAGATCGAGGAGCTAGCCATAGGCGCGTCTGCGGGGGAAGGAAGGAAGGAAGGAAGGAAGGAAGTGCGGGCCTAGCGAGGCACGAGACAATTTATGGCCGCCTGGCCTGGAAACAATGCTGCCGTCGGCCGACAAAGGTGCTGGCCACCCCTCCGCCACCCCCGTGTCGGCTAAATCCCCGCCTCTCCGTGACGGAGTTCGCCAGACTACACGGCCCTCGGCCAACTTTGCGTCGCTCCCGCCCGGGTCGTGTCACCCGGGGGCCTCCGCGAGGTGATTTTGCAACGGGAGCAACAACGTCTGACCGCTTGTCTACCTTCTCACGTTTTGGTGGAAAGAAAAAAAGACACGGAGACTCCGTCCAGCGGCGCGTGATTTCCACTTCGCCGACAATCAGAATTTATCGCGTCTACGACAGCGAGATCGTACACGAGAAACTTTGATGAATCGCGAACTCGATCGGGATCTCGTCGTGTCTGCTGCGACCAACAAGTAATATTTTTTTTTAATAATATCAATTAATTCTACTTGATGGAAATTTCTCTTTTAAATTCAAGAGGAATATCTCTTTTAAATAGTGCAAGCAGTAGAAATTTGAGATAACCATTCGTGTATATCATGCTAAAAAGAGTATACGCAGATGCATATATTATGATATTACTTTCTACAAAATTAAAAACTAATCTTATTTAACTTTTATAAAAATTTGAACCCAAATGTTCTACTTTTCTGACAAAAAAGGAAACGAAATCAAACACAAAAATTGTGCGTATAGGTTTACGAAAACGCTCTTTTTCTATCAAATAGACATTTCCAATCATTCGGTACAGTAAGTCGCGTTTACCTTTCTTACAAGAGCTCTTACTTTGTCCGGAAGCGATTTCCAAATCCAAACCTTAAAGGTACAAACGACATTACGACTCGCGCTTAAACCGATACTTTCAATCAACGAAGCACGCTATCGTCGTTTTATTCGATCTGATAGAACGAAATGGACCCCGAAGTTAGCACGAATGATGTCATCAACGGGACGAATCTCCCTTCGCTCTTAGCGCGTTTGGAGTTCGTCCAAAGAAAATGCTGAAACTGAGACGGTTTGCGGAAACGAGTACGTCGATCTCGGCACGAAAGGACTGACCTAAATCCCAGATCCTTCAGAGGATTGAATAACGCTTTAACGTTCGGCCTGATCACACGCGAAGTCTCCCTCCCCTTTATCCTCCTCTACACGCTGCCGTATTTTCAATAATAATGACGTTTTCGCGTGCTTAAATGTTAGATTGATTCACTCGGATTTTTTCTGTCGTTTTCTTCTCATTCTGTATGAATAAGGCGTTTGAATCAGTATCAAACAAGATTTCAACTTTATTACTGCGATGCATTGAAATGTTTATGTTATATATAAAAATAGTTTAGAATTCTAAAATATAAAATTTTAATTGATCGCAGTAAAGTTCTAGGTCTACCAAGTGATATAAAATTCTAAAAATGAATAAATTGTAGATTTTAACATTAATGTACGTTTCATTCATTATATTAGACACTGGAATCTTATACTATAAAAATTAGTAGACCTGGCATTTTAGAATTTACATTTTCTTCACTACGATGTACTGAAATTTTATATTTTAAATATTTCTCTTTGAAAAATTTAGTTCTACATCGTTGAGTTTTACCAAATAGCGCAATCTTCAGATATGAAATCCTACATTAACAATAATTATTAATACATTCCTAAGAAATAATAATGCCTAAATCCTAACTTCAATTCTAATTTTGAAAATAAAATTACACTTTCTTATTAATCCAATACCTTACGAAATTCAATTAATGTGTCTGTCAAAAATGGGAGACATGATTTTCATCGTCAACGATTTGCCTTCGAAGAGCACAGTGATTCCGGAACATCTTACAGAGGAAGCCGTACCCGGGAGAAACTGACATGTAACTGCATCTAGTTAGCTACCCTTCGTTCTTTTCAGCCGTTTTATTCAGGCAGAATTGGATCGTATGTACAGATATCTCGAGTCTGAACGCAACGAGTTTTGAAGGTATCAAAGGACAGGATATTAAAGTCTCTTACGGGAGCGCGGCGGCGAAGACGCGGGTTGCTTCACGGTGACGTAAAGTATCGTATACAGCGCAGCTTCCGGTGCATCCAACCCCTCGTCCCACCCAGTTCGTATTCTATATGGAACGCCGCTTGGCGAAACCGCCGTGCGGCAATACGCGGCCTCCGTTTCGCGAGCGCGAAACGTAATCACGTATAAATTTTCCGCGGCGAATTCTCGGGAAGGCCGAAAAAGCGCGGATACGAACCGGAAACGTTATCCACATGAAATTCGTAATTATTGAAATTCTTAAAGGATCCTTTTCGTGTCCTCGTTATCTTTTAGTTCATGCTTTCATTTATTCGCGAGCACCCGTGCTATCTTGAGATTATCTCCTCTTGAAAGGTAATTGAGGATTACGATGTGAACGGGAATTGAGGATAAAACTGAGACATGTGCGATAAGATGATAATGATTAAAGTGATAAGCTGATAAGCGATAAAGCGATAAAATAACGATGATTAAAGTGAACAAAGCAAAAATAATTGCGTTTTTACGCTTTGAATACATAGAAGAATGTTCTTTTTATCTACTGAATAATTTATGTACAATATGTAATATACAAATATGATTATTCAATATATCTGATATTATAATATTGAAAATCTTTTGAGAAAAATTGTCTAAAATGCATGCTTTCATAAAACATGCAATAAAACGACGGAAAAAAAATCGCAGATCAATTTTTAATAGCTTAATTTAACGGACAAGCTTTAATCTTCAAATTTATGCGCATTTCAGTCACGAAAAAAATTTTTGCAACTCCGTGGAGTTTAAATTTGCAAAATTTTTGAACGTTACATCCTTGAATTATCCACTTCACTTCCTAGTGCAAAAGCATCATTGAGAAAAACTCATGGAAGTAAAAGTAGAAGCTTCGTTCTTTAAAACGAGCCTAGGAAAATTATTGTACGATTTTTTTTCGCAGTTATAACAGTTCAAAGATCGACACTTTCTCAGTAGAAATTTAGTGACTCTTTAATTTTGCTATTAAGTGTATTGTTATACGATGTAAAGCTTAGTTCGTAGTATAAATGCTCACAAATTGTCAGGCATGTGACAATGTTGCAGAAATCACAATATAATTTCGCTCATCCTCGAGTTAGAGTCGCGCGCCTCTTCAGTATCACTTAACCGCTTGCGAGTGCCGTTTTGAGCCGGAAATGAAAGATTTGCGAGGCACGAGGGTTCCCGGTTCCCATCGCCGTCGGCCGTAGGCGTCGACGAGCGAGTGATTCCGGACGACGCGTTTATCTTCTATGCGCTCGATCAATGCAAATGTGCCGCATTTGTGACGAAGTTCATTGCATTGTCACGTACCATTACGGATACATTGTTGCACCGACACGCGTTGCATCGTTTTCAATTTAACATACGAGATAACAAAAAATTATTTTTCTTTTTTTTGCATCGAGTTATCAACATGATTTCGCCATCTTTCGTCAACTGATAAAATTATGGCAATACTGGAAATTTATTTTCCTAATTATTTATCTTTAAAATAAAATAATATTTCTGTATTTTTTTTCTATAATCAGCAAAACGGCAGTGTCATTATTGAAGTTGATTGCGATAATTCGAGATCGCGTAACAACGGTATTCAAGATTTAAATATAGCTAATAATAAGATATAAATAGAGTTTTAATGCGAATTCGGGGGAAACATGCATTGCGTCGCGATGCAACAAGACGTGACATGAATGTCGCTTCATGGGCGGTATGAAAGGATAATTTTGACATCGTCGGGAAGAGAATGCCGAGTGTCGTGTCCGAGGGACAACGGCATTCCAAAGGATGTAAAATAAACCGCAATGACTAATCTGTGTTCACGAAGCGTAGACTATAATCGGGTGACTAATTCGAAGCGATGACTCCTCAGTCGCTAATGATCATTCTTTTTGCTTGGCAGAGTCGCCGCATTCCAAGCACGTCATGCAAAAAGAAATAAAATTCAATTTTCATCTGCGTTGATCTATTTTTCATTATTCTTTATGCAAAATATATTCCATTGTAAAAAATTACAGCGCTGTATAAAA